CACCTGAGGCGGGTTTGGGGCTACAGAGGGTTTAGGGTTTAGGGGTTGAGGGCTTTAGGGTTTAGGGGTTTAGGGTTTAGGGTTTAGGGGTTTAGGGTTTAGGGGTTTAGGGTTTAGGGTTTAGGGTGTCGGGTTGTGGTTCAAGGTCTTCACAATTCGTGTGTGTTCATTTTTGGTTCACGAGCAAATCTAGTTCACGTGGTCGTCAGGCTTGCCTGCGCACGGCGTTTTACATCACTACTTCAGCTTGTTGAGAAAACAACCTCCTCTGCTCAAAGCCCTAGTAAGCCTCAACCAAAAAACCTGTACGCCAAAGCCTCAACCCCGAACTCTAAACCCCAAACCCTCAACCGTACCGAAAACCCCAAACACTTCTCCTGCTCCAGCAGGGGGATGGCTTCACGCATGAAGGCCATCTGACCCTCTGCAGGCAGGCGCTCGCGGGAAGCGGCCTGGGGCACGGTGCTCGTCGAGTTTTGGGTTCTTTGGTTAGGGGAGTTGGAGTTTATGGGGTAGGTTTGAAGGTTTAGAACGGTGTACGGCTTAGGCGTGTGGTTTTTGGGCTCAGGGTTTAAGGCTCCTGGCAAGGGTGACAGTGCTGATACTGGCCGCCATAACTCTAGCAGCAACAATTGCTCGAGGCTTGCTGCCCAGGATTGCAAGACACATTCTACATGGAAGCGATGCAAGATGCTGAGGGATAACTTTAGATTATTTCCCCGGTGTTGCCGTGCCGAGCCCGGCAAAGGCGCTGTGCCAGAACCGCACAAGAGCTATGCAAGAGACTTACGGTGTAGAGCTTAGGGTTTTTTGTTGAACGCACTTTTCCCGACTGCACTTGGACCCAGAATCCCATCTCAAAAAACCGGCTGTCGAACCTCACGTGCAAGCTGCAGGTACTCCATGCGGATGTTCTGTCAACCCCAACTCGCATTGCCTTCCGACTCCGGTTTAGGGACCCAGACATCTGGTGCTCTTGCGAATAATCCGGTGGTGAGCGGATCAGGGCCTGGGCGCCTACATAGGGTCCTATGTGCGCCTAGTTTGCACTGCAATCTAGAAAGTACAGATACACCCGGTCAGGCCCGACGTCATACGAAGCCATCAACCTATCGCCCTACCCAGTATAGAATCGCACGGACGTCTGCATGCCTTGTATGGAAAGACATCAGGACAGGTAGTACGGTCGACGGGCGGAGCACTGTTAAGCACAAGTAGCAACGACAATAATCATCATAACGATCACAACGATATGCATTACATGCTCAAAACAATAAATACTCACAACATCTCAGAACAACAACCATGGACATAGTCATGATTGTAAAAGCGTTTATAACAGAAGGATACCTGTTATACTCATAATACTGACAGCAAATAGCCATAGAATCTTACTAATCTTAATACGTATTATCATCATGGCAATGGCCGTCGCCACCGGCCTCACTGCATGCGAACTCCGTGAGCCAGAGTGGTTTCCCGAACACCTTGTACTGCTCGATGTGATCCTGAAAAGAACCAAGCAAGGCTGTAAAGCTTAGGGGTTTAAGCACTGAAGCTTAGTGATGAAATTAGGCTCTTCGGGGTCTATCAAGGCCCCATCATAACAATTATTTGGGTCTCATCATACCAAGAAGTGGGCCTCATCATAGCACTGAGTTGGATCTCATCATACCCTGACATGGGCCTCATCATAACACTTAAGTGGGTCTCACCCTAACACAAATTACAATAATAATTGGGGTCCTGGTACCATAACAATTGGGGCCCTAAGTGTTGTGGTAGCAGGCATTACACCTGACAACAGCATCAAGCGCAATGGTTAGGGTTTAGGGTTTAGGGTTTAGGGTAAAGAGAGCATGCCAATTACTGTCAGAGGCAGCCCCTAACTTGTACAGGGACTGTAATGGAATGTGATCCCTAAACCCTAAGCCCGAAAGGCTGTAGGGCCGCCGACCCCCGGCTTAAGTCGCCGATGGGGTGGGGGGCGACTGATAGGTTTGGGGTTTAGGGTTAGGGTTTAGGGTTTAGGGTTTAGGGTAGGGCTTCGTGCTTGAAGCTCAGGGGGGTCCGGAGGCTTGGGATTGAGGAGATTTCCTCTCGGCTCAGGGTTTTAGGGTTTAGGTTTTAAGGCTTTGGGGCTTAGGGGCTGTAGGGGTTTAGGGTTTAGGTTTTAAGGCTTTGGGGCTTTGGGGCTTTGGGGCTTTAGGGGTTTAGGGTTTAGGTTTTAAGGCTTTGGGGTTTAGGGGCTTCAGGGGTTTAGGGTTCATGCTTAAGGGGTTCAGGTTTATTCCTCCAGGTCTGCCACTCCGAGGAAGTGCGAGGGATTGACCAGACTCTCTGCGGGAAGGCTCGTCAGGGTTACTTCATGTGCTGAGTCAGAGCCGCAACGATCGACCTCAAACCCACGAACCTTGAACTTCTAGGAGCCTCGAATCAAGCTTAAACCCAACACCCGACATCCACACGGGGGGGGCAGTCCTTGAGGTATTTCCCGTGGCAGGTGTAGGTGTGGAAGGCGACAGCATCAACCTTGCAGCCTTGACAGGCCTCGAAGAAATCACGCAGCCAGGCGATGGGGTCGTATTCTGCAAAGTTCACGGCCGGGGACACCTGGGCGTCATCAGTATCAGTACAGTGATATAGTAGCAGTAAATATCGGAAGCACATCACCGGAGTTCATGTCAGCACAAGCCCCAAGCCCGCCGCAAGCTTTTTGGGCTCGAACAGCTAAGTCTCATGCGACGTCAAAACGCTGCTGCCGATTTTTACATACTTGGCATGTTCGGATCCGTGTTGCGTCAATCTCTGTAAGGATGTAAGGATGAGAGATGTCGATTTAGTCCAGAATGCATCGACACTCCACTAGAGCCTCTTTCTCAATATCCAGCATAGGAAACCTGTCATTGTCGACGAGGCTGTGGCTTGGATTAGCCTTGATGGCCTCAACATGCGCAGCTGACACTGCGTACGGGTTGCCACTGTACGTGATGAAATTCTCACTTGACTTGCCGACAGGAACCGTAAGCAAAAGATGATGCCTGATCAGATCTGCCACGCATGCTGTTGGTCTGTAGATCGGAGGCCACTTCAACTGGTGATGACACTTGCCGTCAAAAGAAGTCCCAAAGAAGAAACTGTAGGCACCTACGAAGGGACCTTTGCAAAGAAGAGAACTGGCAAGCTTCGACAAGTCAGGCCTGGAAGAATGCTCCACAGTCGGAGCCGCAACCGTGAAATCGCTCTTTGAGATGGTCTGGGAAACCTCATGCGCATACTTTGTCAAAACAGTGTCAACGATGTGCAGCTCTGCGCACGGAGGTTGATCGATTCCGGATTGTTCTGCTTTCTGCCTCCTTGCGTCCCAGGGAAGCAGTGCGAGGCTGTCCTCCAAAAGATCGAAGCGGCTTCCGTCAACGTAATAGAGGTTCGGAAGCGCCGACATCTCACCACACTTCGCCATGATGTCGTACATGACAGAATCACTGTCATCAAAGAAGTGGGTGGCTCGCATAGTTTTCAGAAACTCTGCTTTGTCCGCGAGGCTGGAAAACATGTTCAGAAAGGCATTCTTGAGCTGGGGAGCATGTTGGCCCATGAACAACTGCGCAATCCGGTAGTCATTCGCAGTAAGCAGGTAACATGCAACCCCATGGTTCAAACTAAGATCTGCAATGAAGTCAATCATCCGCTGATTCGGTTCCAGTTTCCAATACTCAGCATAGTGCACCGCTTGGTTCTCGATGAACCCGTTTTCACTTCTAACACCTTGTGTCGAGGTATGCAAGACGCCATCAAAGTCGAAGAACACCCGGTCCAGAGAGGGATTGAACTCAATCCCCTGCACGGTGACAAGTGTCGACACTTCCTGCATGTTGGGCACCGAAAAGTGGAGGACGGGATGGCACCCAACGAACACGAGACCTACTATTGCAACACGTCGCTGGCATGCACGACACCGGCGACGCGAGCTACCTGGCACGAGACGCTGCATTGAACCTTCAGCGAAGCACGCACATTCAACGGTCTGCTACTAGCGGTCTTCTCTCCCTGATGGGTAACCTACAGTTAGGAAGCTGGACATGTCTGCGCACATTGCATCAGCAGCTTTTTCATGCATTGCGCTCATTGTGCACGGCAGGGGTGCTAACATCCCTGGCTGAATTCAGCAACTGCTACGCTCCACAACTTGGACGGAACTTCGTAGCACTCAGAAAGCCCAAGCCGCATACCTACCCTTTCCCCGCCTGCCTCTTTAAAGCTCGAAGGAGCTGACGCAAGCCTCAAAACCAAAGAACTTCGAGTGCATGCGCTTAGCGGCATCGGGCTTCCTGGACCGTAAATCAAACCACTCACCTTGTATATCAGGGACAGCAACCCCCCTAATTTTGCCAGCAATATGTCCGAGCAGTTTGAACTCAAAGTCCTGCGCGGGCGACTGAACCGTGAGCAAACCTCCGCTGAGACATTCCATCACCGATTGCATCATGGACACCGTTTCGTGTGCAAGGCCTGGTTCCCGTCTCTTCTGGCTTGCGAACAACCGTATGCGGGATGCCACGAACAAGTTGTTCATACTTATTTCCGGCAGGCCAGCTTTCATGTGTAGCTGACCCGCTGACACCATTAACTGCCATGCATCGTTTAATGTACTGCACGCATGCACAGCATTCGGTTCATAGAGGACGCAGCAATACAATTGCAATCCAACTGCTGCAAGTGCGCCTGCGACCACATAGTCATCGAGGTCAACGCACTGCAAGGTTTGAAGGAGCACCCGCACATACCCGGACGCTTCCATAAGAGCTTTCTGTCTGTCCAACAGCTCCGGATACTTTCCAGCATAGACATGCCCAAAAGCAGGAATGATAAAGGTGCAGGCAAGTACAAGAAGAACAGGATCCGCAGACCGAGACTCTGCTACTACTTCTTTCAGCCACTTCATCTGGGCATTCCAATCATTCCTCTCCTTCAGCTCGTAAGCCTTCTGAAGAAACTCTCTAACTTGCGGCTTAATGTCCAAGTTTCCACTCTGGCACTGCCAAAAATCCGACACCGGCCCTTTGATAGCTGATATTAGTTTGTTTGGAAGGACATCATGACAGACTGCCTTCGGGATGGGCAAAGTCAAGGCCGCTCCAGGTAGGCCCGGATTGGCATTGGGGTGTGCAAAGAACAATCGATACTTCAAGCGCTCGTCCTGAAATCGCGGCACCATTTCTGGCACACCATCCCACCTCTTAACGTCCATCTCACAGCCTTGGGCAACTATCTCCAGGATTCTGTAAACAGGTAGGCTTTCGAAATGTGCTCGCCACATGGCACTAGTCAAGCGGATTGCCAGCTTGCTGTGGTGCATCGTCGGCATGTCATGGCGTCGAGCAAAATCTTCGGTCTCAAGAGTTGAACCGGATGGCCCACAGCCATACAGGATGATATCACACATTGATTTCGGAACCCCCCGACTGGAAGGAATCGAAATCAGTGGACTGTCTGTCAAGGAGTCGCCTGGGTGTCGGCAGCAAGCAAGCACGAGAATCAAGATGCCATTGGAAACCTTGTTGCGAAAGGACTGCCGTATCCACTCCACAGGGACCAGTTTCTTTGCTGATTGTTTTTCAGCATCACATGGAACTAAGAGGGTACCTCTGCCAGTTTGAATGCCATGTCCAGCGAAAAACACAAAAACACACCTGTTCGAGTCAGGTGTGGAAAGGACTGTCTCAAACACGTCCTTGATATGCTCATACGCTGCATCAGAGAGCTTCCGTGGTGGAGCGGCTAGTGAACAACAGCGATGGAGAGCCTCTTCAACCGCATCAACATCATTGCGGCAACCCTTCCTCACGTCTGCACCACGCATACTTGCAAAACATATGGGTGTTGTACAACACACGACAAAAAGTTACTCAAACATGGGCTAGCTGCAGCACATCGTAATGCGCGTAGTTGTTGTTGCCGATTAGGATGCACCGCCAGGGCCCTGCAACGACATCCGGACCACTGACAGAGTCGTCAACATCTTCACCAAGCGCAGGTGCACATGCGACGGTGCTTCGTGCGGTACCACAACCACACCCCATGCTGGAAACTGGCCGACTGGCTCAACTTGCTCAAACTCAAGGGCTGCTTCACTCGTTGACCTTATTCATAGGAACCACGACGGTAGTAGCAATGTTCACACATACACTTGCACCCGCCACAACCTTGAGCCAATCGAGGCCTTCAGAACTCACGAACTCGGGATGGCTCGGAATCTCGCGCCTCAAGCTTGGTTCACTGCTAGTTTCTGCGAAATGCTGCGTTATGGCAGCACAATGAAAACAACATGGACCTTCATCAAATTTCGAAACAACGGACACACTGGATGATACTGGACCGCGTGCAAGCTGTCAGGACATTGGGATAGTGTCAAAGACTAGGGGCTACCCACACTCCACGCCGGCAACCTACTCCCATCAATTCGATAAGCCCAGCCCCAGTGCAGGACGGTAAAAAGGTACTGTACTAGTACGAAGGCAAGAAGTACAAGTAATCAGTAGAACAGCAAGAGGTAGCAAGAAATGTTCTCAGAAATGCTGCAGGAGGTTGGGCGGAGCGGGTGGTTGAGGGGGGGCAGTACCGGCAATTCATGTACTGCTCCAAGTTCCCAATGCATACGGTGACACTTCTGACTTTGTGCTCAAGCTTCAATTCTTACGTCACACTTAGGTAAGCCAGTTGTCCTGGGCGCTTCGTCCTTATCTGCTGCTGAACACTTCGCTCCTGTTGCAAGCAGCAAAGCTGTCACATTCAGAACTGCCTGCCTGGCTACGATAGATAGTGACGATCACTACAACGACGACAGTGACCGTGACACAACGAGGAGGAGGAGAAGGAAGGTGGTGAATGCTAAACCAAACCGTGAACCCTGAACCCCTTAACCCCTAAACTCTAACCCTGAGGCCCACGCCAAGTAGTCGATGCTGGCGTTCCTGGCGAGCTCCTCCAAAGAAGGCCAGAGTTCCGCGGCTTTCGCGGGCGAGAGATTTGCCTGGAGCGCAAAGTATGCAATAGGATCGGTTCGGGTTTTGCAAATCATCAAGACTGAAATACTAGATTTTAACCTTAGGATTTAGGACGTCGGATTTCATTTCGAGCTTGGGAGCGTGAGATGGGAGGACTTAGAATTAAGGGCTTGAGGCTTCAGGGAGTGTTAGGCCTATCTTGCTGCGCCACGGAAACCCAAAACTCTCAACCCTAAACCCCCAAAAACCCATCAGCAACCGACGGGGCCTGCTCGGGGAAGTTGGGCTCGTTGAAGCCCAGGAGCGCGAGCTTCTGCTTCGGGAGGCCTCTGGGGCTGCTAGGGACTCCTATAAGGTTTAGGGTTTAGGGTTTAGGGTTTAGGGGCCGTAGATTAGGGTGAAGGGATTGGGCAAGGTTTAGGGTTCAAGATTAAGGTTTCCGGATTAGGGTGACCCTGTGACCCTTGAAAGCTTCAACGTCCGCGAACTGACCCTAGGCACTGAAAGTTTCAGAGACCTCCGCCTTCTTTCAGGGCTCGATCAAGGTGGTCTGGCCCATCCCCCCACACCATCGGCACGAAGTTCAAGCCGTGGCGCTCCCACTCCTTTCATCACGGTCTTCAAGGTTCTGATGCTGGATGGTCGCGACGGCTATGGTGATGGCGATACCAGTGTTGCCAGGGTACTGGGCTATGCGAGTGATGTTGGTGGAGCTGGAGACACGAGCGGTGATGCTGATGGTGTTGGCAAGGATGATGATGAAACCCTTAAACGTCTAAAAACCCCGTAAAGACTATGATCCCAAGAGAACCCCGCAAGGAATTCCAAAAACACACCAAAGACCATACACGACCAAAAAAAACTAACACATTTTTGCCGTAGTTCCTCGAGCGCCGGCCCACTGTCCCAGCTCGGGATTTGGTGATACCAGACGTAGCCTCAGGGCTTTCCAAAAGTGTTGTTATGGGAGCTCTGCTCATGGGTTGTTTTTTTGCGGTCGTTGTGACAGCGTGTTACGAGCTTTTCTGGGGTGGTTTAGGGTTTGTAGGGTATGTAGGCTTTAGTGTCTGGTTCGCTGAAGGGTCTTATAAGGTCTGTTAAAGTGTTACTCATAACACCTTTTTATGGGGTTTTAAGTCTGGTCTGTTTGTTTAAGGGCCACATTATCGGGCTAGGTCCATCCCACTCGTACCGCGCAGCATGTGTGGGCAACGCGCTTAGATCTGGTGATGTGCGGCTTATTGCTCATTGGGCGGGTTTATAAGGCTTGGGGCCTAGGGTTTAGGGTTTAGGGTTTAGGCCTGGGGCCACGTGCATTCAGACTGCGTGTGAGTTCGGGTTTGGGGCTTCGGGCTTCTGGGGCCTAGGCCTGTAGACTCCAGACGACTCCATACCGGGAACTCCTACGTGGTCTATACTGGCTTACAGGATCCGGCATTAGGCCCTAAACCCTAAACCTAAACCCCAAACCCCCTGTTTTGCAGGCTTCGGCTCGGAGTCGTTTTGGGGGCTCATCTAGGGCTTGGGGCTTGGGGTCTGCCAGGTCTGCGGCTTTGGGGAACGGAGCCGATCGCAAGTACGTGGGATTTTCAGGGCTTTTGCGTAGAAACATGATATAGTAAAAGCAAAATAGAAATAACGTCTTGCAATGCCTAATATATCCTGATATAGTATATAAGCCTGACTGAATGATTAGTGGCTTCCTAGCTTCAGACTACTGGATGGAGGCCGTCCTTCGGAAAGATCAGGCTGGAGGAGACCGGACGCGCAACGCATCGCACTCAAGGTTCGAGGTTTGGGGCTTTAGGGCTTTGGGGCTTTAGGGCTTTAGGGTTTTAGGGTTGAGGGGTTTAGGGTTCAGGGGTTTAGGGTTTAGGGTTTTAGGGTTGAGGGTTTAGGGTTTATGGTTTCTAGCGGCTCGATGCTAGGATTTGAGGTCTTTAGGATTTGGGATTTTGGGTTTGCAACTCAGTTTCTGGTACAAGTCTGGCATGGGGATAGGAATATCGAAAACCCAAGTTTAGAGCTTTATCCCAAAACCCTGTGCGAAAAGTGATACGGAGATATAAACAATTCGGACTGTTGCTACCTTCAGCGCTTCGGGCCCAAGTAGGTGCCCCAAAGAGCACTCAAACACTAGCTTCTTCAAGGTAGTATCCCTAAAAGGTAGGGTTTTTGGTAGAGGTTTAGTATGACCAGTATGACTTTTATGACTATTGAGATTGGCAGGACTACTGTACGACTATCACCGTTGTGTTACGCCTGCCATCTTTTTCGTGGGCCCCCGCTTCCTTAAAGCAAGATCCCTAGAAGGACAGGCTTTTGTAGGGGCTCATTGTAGACCCCTGAACCCTAAACCCTGAACCCTAAACCCCTAAACCCTAAACCCCTAAATGCCCTCAACCCTGAACCCTGAACCCGAAACCCGAAACCCTAAACCCCTGAACCCTAAACCCTGAACCCGAAACCCCTAACCCCTAAACCCTCCAACCCTAAACCCTGAACCCGAAACCCTAAACCCTGAACCCTCAACCCTAAACCCGAAACCGTGGGTTTAGGGTTTCCAGCACCAAGAGGCCCCAGTGCATCTTCTGAGCTAAGGTCGCGAGCGCCGCGGAGCTGAGCCGGAAGTTCTGCGTGGCGATGCCGCGCTTCCTGGGCTTCTTCAGGGGTTTCCTGAAGGCTTCCTAGCTTCAGGGTTTTCTTATGGGTTCAGGGTTTAGGGGTTTAGGGTTCAGGGCGGGCTTCGGGCTGTTGTGGGTTAGGGTTTGAGGATAGAGCTTCGGACTTTTATGTTTATAGGGCTTTGACGCTTAGGGGTTTAGGGATTAGGGATTAGGGGTTTGGAGGGCTTAGGGATTTAGGGTTTAGGGCTTCAAGGGCTCAGGGCTTAGGGGTTGGGGTTTAGGGCTCAGAACTGAGAGGGCCATAGGGTGAAGGGTTTAGGGTTGAGGTTCTCATGTATAGCTTTGGGCTGCGGAGCTTAAGGTTTTACGTTTGAGGGTTTAGAGACCCTAAACCCTAAACTCTAAACCCTAAACCCTAAACCCTTCCCCCATGCCCCAAACCCCTCTTTCTAAACATGCTCGAGGGAGGGGAAAGACGAACCCTATGAGCCCTAACAGGGCAAGTCCTGAGGCCGACCGGAGCCAGCCTGTGGGTTAAGGGTTTAGGGATTTAGGGATTTAGGGGTTTAGGGTTTAGGGTTTAGGGTTTAGGGTTAAGGGTTAAGGGTTTAGGGTTTAGGGTTTAGGGTTTCTTCACTGGTGGACAGAAGAAATTTAGTGGCCTGTGGCGCCCAGGGTGAAGCTGGGCGGAACTGTAACCTCTCGAAGGATGGTGACGATGTCGCTGTTCTAGGATCCATAGAAGCAGCGGTTTAGGGTTTAGGGTTTAGGGTTTAGGGTCTAGCCAGAAATTCTGCCACTCCAAAATCAATCCTGAACATCCAAGCGCCACTAACCCGAACCGTCCCTGAACCCTTAAACTCCAGAACCTGAACCGCCCTGTACTCAACCCGAGCCTGTCTAGAAAACCCTTATAGAACCCCTTATAGATCCGCTCATAGATCCGCTTCTAGGTCCCCTTCTAGCTCCCCTGATGGAACCCTGGAAACAACCGCCCCCCCGCCCCCGTAACGCCCCAGCTTCCGGGAGATGCGCAGGTCGCCGGGCTCCTTGTACTTGGGCCAAGGCCAACCTCAGAAGCTCTTCTGCTTAGGGTTTAGGGTTTAGGGTTTAGGGTTTAGCGGGTTTTAAGGACGTGCGTTGTTTCCTTTGATTTTTTCTGTGGGGCCCTTTAGTTCTTTGGGGGAAAGAAAGGCTAAAGGGCTTAAGGGCTTTAGGGTGTTACGGTTTCTGGGTCTAAGTCTGGGGCTTTTAGGTTTTACGGGGGGGCTCAAGGTGTCGCATGGGTTGCAACAGGCTCTAGAGGGATTCTCGGGGCTTGGGGCTTAGGGAGAGTTTCTGGGATGGGTTTAGGCGGACTGAGGATAAAGGCGGCTAAGGATCATGCAGGGGCCTTAAGAAGTAGAATTAGGTTTCTCGGCTCCTGTATGGCATATTCATAATAAGGAACCCCTAAGGACTGACATCGGCAGCGATTTAGGCATTTATCGTGCAGGGTTCATTAAAGGATCCAGGGTCCTAAACCCTAAACCTTCAATCCACGGTGAGGTTTGAGCTTGCAGCTATAGCGGGTTGTCCAGCTTCGGGGATCCGACCGGCCTAGATTACCCCTACGCCTTGCCTAAACCCTAAACCCTAAACCCTAAACCCCAAACCGTGAAATCCCCAAGGGTGGAGCCTAAGCCCCCAGACCGCCCTTCAAACCCTCAACAGTACACCTGGACGCGACTTCTGAAGAAATCATCCCAAATCCAAAAGGCAACAGTCGCCCGGAGCTTGGACCTAGAACCGGAAAAAAAATGGCAACGCTAAACCCTAAACCCTAAATCCCTAAAAGTAACCGAATAGCCCATGGAAACGTGGACCAAAGTCCCTGCAAAGGGCTAACTTCCACCCTCCACAGGCCGGGCAGCAAGGTTCGCAGGTAAGGTACTCCAGGCCCACCTGCTTTTTTAGTTTAGGGTTTAGGGTTTAGGGAGTTTAGGGTTTAGGGTATTTCTGTTGATGGTACATTCTCAGATTATATTGTGGTACATTTTCATGGTATATTTTGGTATATCATATGGTATACTATTATGGTATACTGTTACGGTATATTATTATGGCACATTATTGTGGTATATGATTATCGTATCGTATTAGGGTACATCATGCGGGTGCATTATGGTATATTATGATATTATGTTGCTGTTGCTGTTGGTCTTCGTGTGCTGTCTCGTGTTCTTTTCTCGGTGCTAGGGTTGAAAAACTTCTGAGCGTCGGCAATGTGGGCTTTGGGGTTTATAGCTTCGGACTCTCGAATTGGTCTAGGGGCTAGCGGTTTAGGGTTTAGGAAATAACGACTTTAAGGTTTCGGCTTGCCGTTTCGGCGTCGGGTTTGGGTTGAAGGCTGCGGGTCCTTGTAAGTGGCTGCCCGCAACATGCCTGCTCAGTCGTGCGTCATGGTGTGGTGATGCTTGTGTTCTTCTTTACTGCGGCGGTCTATTCTGGGAACACCTGAAGCCCCTAAACCCTAAACCCAAAGCCCTGAACACCTGCAGCCTGACATCCCATGCAGCTGGGCCCTGAAGGCGTCAAACTCCAAAAATGGAGACCACAGCAAACCAGACCCAGGGATTTTGTTTCGTAGGCTTTAGGGTTTCGGGTTGACGGTTTAGGGTTTAAGGCAGATTCCCTGAATCACACCAAAGCCGCTTCATGATGATCCCAGATCACAGACCGCGAGAGAAACCAGCCAAGCCTACGAAGCCTCGCAGACGCAGCCTGTCTAAACCCTCCACAACATCGATGCATGAGACAGACATGAGACATGTTCAGGGAAATCTACCCTAAACCCTGAACCCTAAACCCTAAACTCCTAAACCCTAAACCCTGAACCCTAAACCCCTAAACCCTATACGCACCTATACTATTTCAAGCGAAACAGCTCGATAGATCCTCGGAAATCTCCCGCCTTGGCCCGAGCCTCGATCTCGCTCATCCCAGAGGCACGGTACCAGTCCTCGGCCATTTTTTGGGTTTCGGGTTTAGGGTTTAGGGTTTTGGGTTCAGCAGCTCCGGATCGAGCAGTTTTAAAGTAGAGTTGTATTCACGGTTTCGGTATAACACCCACCCACCCTAAGAATCCCATAACAAAGCCAAAGCCACAGCCTGGAACTCTAAATCCTAAAGCCAATGTTGTTGTTGCTTGTAGTCGTTTGTTGTTCTTGGGGGCAAAATGACTAATGCCAACGAAACTGCTTAAGGACCGATGGCAAAATGACTGAGGGCAACATGACGAATGCCGACGAATCTGCTTAAGAACATAGAAAATTCTGCCTCGAATTTTGGAGGCCCCCGCCTAACCTCAGTTTGGTTTAGGCCTAAACCTGGTTTAGGCCTAAAACTGGTTTGGGCCTAAACCTGGTTAGAAACGACCTTAACCTTAATTGAGTTTAAATATCTTTCAGTAAGAGACGGTTTAGGGTTTAGGGTTTAGGGTGGGTTTAGGGTTTAGGGTTTAGGATGGCACGTCTTCGGGTTAGGGTTTAGGGTCTAGGGTCAATTTGTGTAGTTCTCGAAACTCGGGCCCGTTTTTGGGGCCCCGAAACAGGACCCTAGCTTGGAGAACTACCCATGTGGGGCCTGGGGATTCGCTGTTTGGGTTTTAGGGCCCAGGGGGTCGGTTTTTCAGGTCCCCCTGCCGCAGGGTGATGGGAGGTTTAGGGTTTAGGGTAGACGGTTTAGGGTTTAGAGTTAAGGGTTTAGGGTTTAGGGTAGCCGGTTTAGGGTCTAGGGTTTAGGGTTTAGGTTTCCATGAGCCTCGAATGAGGGTTTGGGGTTTTAGGGTCTACGAAGTTTAGGGTTTAGGGTATAGGGTATAAGGTTTAGGGTATGGGGTTTAAGGGTTAGGGTTTAGGGTATAGGGTTTAGGGTATGGGGTTGAGGGTTTAGGGTTTGGGGTATAGGGTTTAGGGTATGGGGTTTAGGGTTTAGGGTTTAGGGTATAGGGCTTAGGGTTTGGAGTTTGGGGATGTAGGGCTCAGGGTTCAGGAGTGTGTGCCTGGTGCTCAGGATAAACTGGGGTGCCTCTGAAATGCAGGCAAGACCAGCCTAGACGGATGATAGCACTAGAAAAGGGGTTAAGGTTGCTGGCTTTCTTCGCGCCGTGAGCAAGGTTGTGCTCAACAAACAGCGCCAGGCACTCTTGCTACGACACATCTAGGTCCGAGTCGTATAGAACGACACTTAAAGTTCACTCACCCCCCATAGCATCAATGCTACAAAATGCTACCATGCCAGGCCGAGACTCCAGTCGCCCGCCGCAGGTTGAGCTGGACCAGGGGTCGTTAGCCTCGACCGCGGACACATCTTCGCAGGTCGGGCCGGCGGTGGAGCCCGCTGTGGTCGTGGAGGCAGGTGTGGTGGTCCTGGTGGTCGTAGTGCTGCTAGTGGTCGTGGTGGTCGTCGTGGTGGTGGTCGTCGTGGTGGTGGTCGTTGTAGTCGTGGTGGTGGTCGTTGTAGTCGTTGTAGTCGTTGTGGTGGTTGTGGTGCAAGGCATGTCGGTGCAGGAACTCGTGTTCGCCTCTGTGAGAAAGGCCTGGAAGTCTTCGAAGCTGGAGGAGGCTGTGAGGCCAGGATACCAATCCTCGGACGCATGTATTATAATCTCTCAGATAATCATCGTCAGAACTTCTGGCATGGCACCTACATAGCACTACTAGTTTGTCTACGGGAAATTTTCGAGTACACGGCCCTTTGCAGGGGTTCTTGTTGACCTTTTGGACCCGGGGACTTCGGAGGCGCCAGGAACCGGTCCCTTGACGAAACGATCCCCGGTACCATCCCGGCACTCTCGGAATATCTCTTGATCATAGGAAATAGCCCCGGAACCAGCTCCTTTTTTTGACACGAAAGTGATTCTGTTGGAGTTCGGTTGGGTTGCTGCCCCTGTCGGCTGACATGTGCTTGCAAGGCTGGCCACCCCTATCGCGCCCCGGTGATTAAGAATGATTAAGGGCTTTCACAAGAGAGCCCGGACTGAGACGCCAAGATGCCGGTCTCCAAAAGATGCCCTCAGACTTCGCCCAAGTAACGTCGGAGTAGCAGGGCTCTCCGGGCAGGGCCGTGCGGCAGATTCCGCAAGGCAGGGTGTCGCAGTGGCGATTCGAGGGCTCGCGGATCACTCGGTGGCACTGGTAGTTATCCAGTATGGAGAAGGCATCGATGGTGCGGTTCCAGAGCTCACACCGACCTTTCACGTGGAACTCGACTCCAGTGCATAGATCCGCTGCCAAGCACTTTGCCTGGCAGTCGCTGAGTGAAGCTGCTCGGGTGACTTCGAAGTAGGAGAGCTTGTTGTCTCCCCTACTCGCACCGCGACACACACGGCCCACGGCCCCGTCTACGGGGGCAAAGCCCCAAAAGCTGTTGGAAGGGTGAATGAGGCGGTGGCACTGGAAGTTGCGCAGGGACCGAGTGGCTCGCACTTCTCTTAGCCAGAGCTCACAACGATTACCGGAGAACTCCACCGCCTTGCACCCCGAAGAGCTCTGACACCTCTGCTGGCAGGCCTCCAGGTCGGTGGCCGTGACAACGCGGTAGTTCGCCGGGTTGTTGTCGGACGCAGAGAGGCCACGGCAGACCCGATCTTGGCCTCCATCCGCCGGCTCCCAGGAAACTTCCCCCATGAGCCCTTCTTCGAAGAAGGAGGCCTGGATCTCCTCGAAGGAGGCCCCCGAGGCCCTCTGCGCAGAGAGGACCGCCTCGTAGCAGGCCTCCCCGGGCTCCGCGGTTTGGCAGGCCTGGAAGAGCCGGGCCCGCCTGGTGTGGGCCTTGCGCAGCTGGACCAACATGAGATCACCGGTGCAGGCTTCTTTGGCGCACAAAAGCCGAGCCAACAACACCAAGGTCACAGTCCTCATGCATGCAAACGAATTACGAGCTTCCCGACAATCTCGCGAGCCCGTGACAAAAGGTACAACAAGTCTTCTTGCAAGCTTGAGCCGTTTTCCGGAGCAGTTGACATCACCTGGCTGTATACACCTTCAACGCGCACAACACGTGTCCTACAGTTGTCCTGCCCCACTCACCACTGCAATATCGACGATATCGATCATTCCCTATACAGAAACACGACTACCAGCATGCCCAAGCAACATAGAAAAGCTCACAGGCTGCCCACATCCTCTCCCATGCCTATCTCCAGAGCATCTCCCAGCAATAGATCTTCGTCTACATATGGAGGGGTTGCCGAAAATAGGGGACCCTAATATAGTACCCTAAATGGTAGGATCCTTATTAAAAGGACCCCAAAATAAGGTACCCCTTCTTATTTTCGGGAACTCCCAAGATCTTACCCCAAGAAGCTCCCGCAACTCGGGGGGACCGACATAGGATGTAGCGTGCCGAGCACCAGGGTTTAGGGTTTAGGGTTTAGGGTTTAGGGTTTAGGGTTTAGGGCTTAGGGTTTAGGGTTTAGGGTTTAGGGTTTAGGGTTTAGGGTTTAGGGTTTAGGGTTTACCTCTTGCGACGTGGCCGTATTGGGAAAGCAGCTAAAGACGCAGAGGAACTCATCTTGCAGGGCTCATTGGACTCGAACTTGCCTGTGTCGAGCTATACAACGGCAGAGGGACTTGGCAAGCTGAAACTTGAAACGTTGAGCCGAATTACGAAAGATGCGGCTTTAGAGCGAGAATCGTACTCGGCACCCGAAGGTACATGGACAGCAGTGCCTCTCCCTCCAGGGCATCTTTCCCTTCATGCTTTCAAAACTCAATCTCTGTGGTCTGCTGTGGCCGTCAGCTTGGGATCATCGAGGTTCCAGTAGACGAACAGGAGTGATGACAAGACTGCCAGGTGGCTGATGTCTGTGACACTGTAGAACAACTGACAACTGTAGGAACTGACGATGCCCATGTTCCCGAGCAAGAAGATCACCGTGTACGCCACAAACATGACCTCCTTGACGCAGACGCTGGCACCTTTGAGAGTGGGCTGCGACGTGGTCCTCATGTGCTCAGTGAGGTAGACTACCTCATCTGCAACTACCGCCGCATAGGCCGCGCAGCCCAGCAGGGTCAAGAACCATCCCATCCATGGGTCATAAAGGACGGATCCGAGGCCGCAGGCCCAACAGTATGCTGCAGAGGCCGCAAGCTGCGGCAAGATCCGAAGAAGGACCTCGAGCATCGGATGGCTGTCCATGAGTGGGTAGAGGTTCATGAACAGAACTGTTGGGATAGCGTAGGTCCAACCTATCCAGCGAGTCACGTAGATAGGCCGGTAGTCGGGGCTCCGTTGATTCTGAAATGCCAAACCATGTCCGCGTGAAAGCATCGTGTAGTAGCAAATCTTGACAGCAAATAACAGCATGGGTGCTCTTGAAATTGCAAGTGCTCTCTGCCTGGGTAACAAGAATTACAACTGTTTACTACCACAATTAAGGTCCTTATAACCTTACATACTAAGTCCCGAACCCAAGAACTCCCCTAAAACCCTAAACCCTAAACCCTAAACCCTAAACCCTAAACCCTAAACCCTAAACCCTAACTCTATAGAAGGCCTGGGTTTGGAGGAGCACATCTCGGCAACTTGGAAGCCGAAGACCAAGGTGATGAGGGCCATTGGAATGATCAAAGCGTTTCGGGTCATGCTGAAGACCTTGGCTGCTGGGGTTTAGGGTTTAGGGTTTAGGGTTTAGGGTTTAGGGTTTAGGGGGTTTGCGGCTTGGGGGTTTTAGTCTTTCAGTTCCCAAAGAAGGTGAACCTCTTCGGGTTTTATGCAAACCCCCACAAAGCGAAAAGCTACCTACTGAGCTACTAAGACACCTGAATCTCATCTTCAAGGCTCCCCCTGTACACCGGCCCCGCTTGGCAGGAAGAGTGGGCGGCGAGGCAGGAGACGACTTGAAGGCCCGTCAGGATCACCTTTGGGGGGTTTGGGGCTTAGAGGAGGGCTCCTTTAAGGAGAGGACTCTAGATCCCTATGGCACCCTGAAAGGGAACCCTGCTATGGGAACTCGTTAGCACTTTATGTCGTGTGGGCGCCTTCCTCGTCGACACCCCGGAGTAAGGGTACGACGAAAACAACATCATAGCACTTTATGTCACTTAAGTTAGAATCGCACATACTGGGGTCCTCTTACCATGGTACCTTAAGGGTCTCACCATGGTAAGGAAAGTATATGGCATGCATTCTGTGCATATATATATATATATACATGCATACGTATGTACATACACATCTGCATAGACATGCAGGCATATACATATACATATACAAACAGGCACACATTTACGTACGTACATACATACATACATGCATACATACATACATACCTACATACATACATACATACATACATACATACATACATACATACCTACATAGAGAGAGATACATACCTACATAGAGAGACAGAGAGAGAGAGAGAGAGAGATCCCTGTTCCGGGAACTTGGTACAGGAGTTGCCTCTTAAAAGAGCCCGGGCACGCACGACTTCGCCGTCCAAGGCCAGCGGCTCCATGTCCGGGACATCATCTCCCCCGGAGGGGGAATCCCGGCGTGTGCACTCGCCATCGTATGCCTAGGCCCCTGCTAGAAAAAGCTTGAAAAAGAGCTTCAAGAGAGGCCTTCAAGGGCGAAAGAAGGAGACCAAACATGAGGAGCCAAGCAGGGAGAAGAGCGCCGCTGAATCCACAACAATCCTAAGCACCTCTTCGTCATCATGATCAACATGAGCATCACAGCTTAGGGTTTGGGGTTTAGGGTTTAGGGTTTAGGGTTTAGGGTTTAGGGTTTAGGGTGTTTCTTCAAATCACTTCCAGGCTTACCATCATCACCAGCATCATGAGTGATGTCAACACAAGGTACTGCAGCTCACCATCTCTTCTTCGCCATCGACATCATGACTGATACCAAGGCAACTAGCAAGCGTGCTTTTGCAATGACAAGGATAACTACAACAGCCATGGTGACAAAGACAGCAGCCGCAAGGACAAGAACACGGAATCGATACTCAAGTAGAACCTAGAGCAACGATTTGGAGCTCTACTTTTATCTTTTATCTCACACTAGAAATGCGATCAACTGGCAGCCGTGAGTGTATCATGAAACACTCGTAAAAGTGACGGGAACGGTGATAGCAGGTAGAATGTGCCAACAGCTACCAACCAAAAACGTTAGCCCGCTGCTGAATTGACAAGACCAGACCTTGGAAGGAAGCCGTTTTAGGCATGGCTTGCACAGGTCGCCACAGCGAAACTGACTCGGAAATGCCGCAAGAGAACCGACGGGGGGACTGGCCCATCAAGCTTCGCAATCAGGCTCACTGCTAGGGCCCCCAAAAAGCACATAAGCAAAAACTAGGATAGGGATATCCCATACAATCCCCGTATAATGAAGCCCAACAAGGTAGGGATATCCCTATAAAATCCTTATGCTTATGTCCTTTTTGGGTTCCTACCTCACTCCAGGGAAGACACAGTTCTTGAAACTGGCGCTTGTCTGTACAGGCCCTACTGCCATGACCTGACGGTAATACTGAGGCAAGGAACTGCCAAGTGCTCGTCAGTTCCAGGCGCAGCGCCACAAGCTGCCTGAAAAAAATAATAAAGGTATGCAGCAACTTCGTTGGCATCGTTGCGAGTGGAGATCCGCAGACTCCTACGACGTCATCTGCTGGAACGGCGGTTCATCCGTGCAAAGATCCTAAGAGCCAGCACCGGCCGCATGAAAACGCCAATCTGTAAATTGCCTAACCATAGGCAAGTTCGAGACATATGCCTGCGTGCTGGACAGCAGGATGTTTATGTCGTTGACTCCAAGTTCACAAACCCCATTGGCATTTTCCTGTATGGAACGTGGGACCATGCAGTTTGGCAACACGAGGCTGCGTTATGCAGCTCTCTGCTGGCGCTAGCTCTTGGGAACGCCCCTTGAAAATAAAGGCTTGAAACGTAGACTGAATTCCTGCGGAGGCAGTGCCATGGAGATTCGAGGTCTTTCTCAAATTGACTTCCGCACAGCGATAATGGTACTGGTGATGGCCAATGCAACGGATGCTGCAAGGGCTGGATCCCTCCATTGCGCTGCCGCAGCTTCCTTGATACGGAGTTGCTCTTGTCGGCCTTCTTCGGTGAAGTTCCTCATAAACTCTGGCTCAGGCTCAGGCGGCGAGCTGTGGACTTTCTTCGGGAGCGGCGGTGCCTGCGCTGGCTCTGGTTCTACCATCCTCGTCATCTCAGTCTTGGCGCGCTGCATGATGCCTCGGACGTCTGTCTTCCGATCATAAGATGGCCCAAGCTTGATTCGAAAGAATTCGGGCATCTGGACCCATAAACCCTAAACTTCCAGGCGGGTCAACCCTGAAGAGCACATTATCCCGAATCGTGAAAGACGATAAACCTGACCGCAAACTATCCCTAAACCCTAAACCCCATCAGATGAGACACAAAGGCCAGGTCCCTTGAAGCCTGTCGGACGGCGCAAACGACTGTCCGATGGGCCGCACAAGCACAGCGAGCCGTCGGGATTGAACCTTTGCTGACTAAAGACAACCTCCAAACCATGCCAACTTACACATATGACATGTGCATGCATGCTAAACCCTAAACCCTAAACCCTAAACCCTAATCATCCTCATTCTCATCCTTCCAGGCGCTTGAAGATGTAGGGGATCGGCGGTGGCGACTCCTCGGCCCCTGATGGAATCACCTCGATGGGGCGCAACCACTCGAGGAGGGTTTAGGGTTTAGGGTTTAGGGTTATTTAGGGGTTTAGGGAATAGGGTTGACTCAGAGCCCATCTGCGAAAAGTTCCCCCAACCATCCCCAATCCAACCGATCTGCAGATTCATTGAGGGCTGTCTCTAAGGAAGATTACCCTGAACCTGGATGTCCAGCTGCATGGGTTCCACAGAGCAGTTCATGCGGAAGCACGCATCCAAGGTGTGATCCATGACCGAGATCTTGGCATGCTTGCAATCGTGGCTGAACTCAACCTTCTGTGTGTAAGACCCCAACTCTTCACTGGTGGTGCCTTCCCACATTCCACAAATCCGGGCATCAAAGGCAGATGTAAGCTCATCCAAGCCTTGGACGAAGGCGCCGAAGTGGGAGAAGTTGCAGCTCTGGGAGCCTTCCCAACCGCCCTCCCCTTCCTCGGTCCCCTCCTCCGAGGAGCCCAGGAGTGCCGAGGCTCCCAGCTTGTTCAAATCCGCCAAGTTTGCCACGATTCCACTCTGAGCATCGGTGTAGGTGGTGGAGGTGGCGGAGGTCTGCCGTTCTGAAGGCTTGAAACTTTCGAAGCCCAGCTCCAACTCCTTGGAGGTCTCCTCCTCCGCCGCCTCCGTGAGTTGGATCGCAGCTACAAGGTTTCGTTCCTTTCCATGGCTCACAGCAGAGCGCGGCACCACGGAGAGGTGGAGGGTAGCATTGAGTCGCACCTGGGATGCCCCCGTCATCTTGCTGTGCAGCACCTGCGCAATGGGAGGCATCACACCGGCCCCACAGCTCCAAAGCCCAGAGGTCGTCAACGTTGCCTCGCTGAAAGCCTGCGGGCAGTCTGCCTGCCTCACCACGTTACGCAAATACTGCGTGAACTCCACCTTGTCGCTTTGCTCATGGAGGAGATCTGCCAAGTTTCGGCCGGCGACCGAGTTCCCAAGCATCTTCTCCAGCTTCAGCATGTCCCCGGAGTAGCTCAGAGGCAGCCTGCAGCGCCCCGCCGAATCCATCACACAGGGAAGGATGATGTCGAAGTTGCCACGCAAGATACTGATCATCCCCACGTTGGAGACCGAAACTTTTCGAAGGACGTCGGTTAAGGTCTTGTGGTACTCATCGGCCCGGATGAAGACAAAGGTCGCACAGTAGGCGATCTTGGCTCCGAAGGTCACAATGTAGTAGCCTGGGTTGCAGTTAAGGAACATAGTTTAAGTTGAAACCCTACTGTATTCTTCACTATAGATCCCTGTCATGGTAAGTTTAACTAAGCTCCTGAGCAAGAGCCCAGTAGCCCACTTGCTCCCTCTCGGCTGTTATAGCTCCCACGGCCGAAGCCATGTAAATCGCACCGAAGAGTTGGAAGTGGATGATCCTGGGCTCGTGCTCAGGAACTCAAAGTTAGCTTGCCACCAACAACGAATGTATGTTGGATCGCACTATGTATCAAAGAGAATTCCTCATACCTGTATGTATATACTCCCCAGACATTATGAAGCCTGTCTATAGAAGTCAGGAGGTTTTTTCCTTCTTTCTTTCCCATTTCGCCCCGTGTAAAGCGTTTCATGCCATCGCGCTTTGTTCCCTTCCAGCAGTACGGCAGGAGGGCAGGGCGGGGCAGGGCAGGGCAGGGCACGCAGGGCACGGCACGAGCACAAAAGGCAGGGCACAGACCTGCAATTCCGCTCACTAGAGGTCGGAGAACGTGCTCCGGTACCGGGAAACGACGTGGGCGCTACGGTCCCAAAGGCCGTGAAGAGGCGGCTGGCGTACTGGTCGGCCTTTCGCGATCGGTTGCGAGGGGCTTAAGCGCCGCCCACTTATAGTAGGTGGGCGGCCTATGCCATGAGTTTAGGGTTTAGGGCTGTCAGGTATAGGGTTGATTGTTTTAGGGTTTAGGGTTAAGGGTTTAGGGTTTAGGGTTTAGGGTTTAGGGTTTAGGGTTTAGGGCTGCCGACTGTTTTGCTGTACATCGGGAAATAAATGTGGGTGGTTCTCTAAATTGGTGTCCCTTTTATTCGGGTGCCGTCCTATTTCTGGGACCCAAACTGGGACCCTAATTTAGACAACTACCCAGATGGCAGGGGTAGGTAGGCGATCGCTGAGCACGAAGAGGTGCTGCGTTGTAGCACCCCAGGCCCTAGAAAATGGGTAGTTCTCTAAATTAGGGCCCCTGCCCCGAAACCCTAAACTAAACCCTCAACCCAAAACGGACCTAAAAGGGATCCCAGTTTAGAGAACTACCCAAATCGCTTCGATATTTTGCTTCATTTGGTTCGGCCGGAGTGATCGATCTAGTGGTTCAGGTTTCGGGTTTAGGGTTCAGGGTTTAGGGTTTAAGGTCTAGGGTTTAGGGTTTAGGGGTTCAGGGTTTAGGATTTAGGGTTTAAGGGTTTAGGGTTTAGGGTAAGTGATAGCTTGGGCGGTGACTAGCTCGAATCAATACCTTGCAGCTGTCCTGGGTTCTCTGACTTACCGTGTTTGACTCGGTCGTTGTCTCCTGGCGAGAAAGGGATGTGATGCAAGGGTTGGTTGTGCGGGCTAGCCGTGCATTGGGTCAGTAACTTGAGCTGTTTGGAGAGGAGTGCTTGGGAAGGGCTGTTCGGGCGCCCTGCTGTGATCCAGACCCTTTGGGTGGGGAATCAAGGCTTTATCCTACATGCCGTTGTCTTCTCCTCGCCTTCTCTCGCCCTAAACCCTAGATAGACCCTAAACCTTAAACCCTAAACGCTCGCGATCTGCCAAAGCGAGGCTGCACCGTGTTGTTGAGACGGCGCAGGCCAGAAGCATCGCCGTGCCCAACGCTCCCGGCTTCTTCAACAGAGCGGTTTAGGGGTTTAGGGGTTACTTAGGGTT